GCTTCTGGCCCTTTAAGGACCTATTAAGGGACTGCTTATAAGGCTGTGGAGTAGAGTAGCATAATGCTGCTTTCCTTCAGCCTTGTGGGTAAGGTAAGGGAGTAGGTCCTGGAATGGACCGCTCCTTTTAATTTACCTCAGCCTCTTAATATGCAGTATCTTGTTCTCAGCCCTTGTTCTCATGCTGCCTTGTCTCACTTTCTGTTTGTTTTGATTCAAAGGGACCAAGATTGGAGATCTCCTTTGGCTTAGGAGATCCTCCTAGTGGAAACAACATAGAGTCTTCCTTTTCTTTTTGTTGACTCATCCTTGGTGGTTGTGAAGCCAGGATACAGTTTACCTGTGTGAGAGAAACAGATCAGAGTGACATCCTCTGGGCTAAGATTGGAGCCTGTTGCTGAACACCAAGCCTTTCAAGATGGTCCTTCTCAGTATTCTTAGCATCCTCGTTCTTTGGGAACTGGTGCTTTTCATGGACCACAGGGCCGAGTTGGCAAAGGTAGGGCAGCCTGTGGTTGCCCCCCTGGCTGAGGACCCTAGCTGGCCCCTGATTCGGGACCTGCTAGAAGAAGCTCCTGGCAAGCAGCAGAGGAAGCCACAGCTCCAAGGACCCCAACTGGAGTACATGCTGAAGTTGTACCAGAGTTCAGCTGACTCACTCGGGAACCCTAGGGAGAACCGCACCATTGGAGCCACTATGGTGAGGCTGGTGAGGCCCTTGGCCAATGTGGCAAAGCCTCTCAGAGGTGAGTTATCATGCCCTCATACGGCTTGGGAGGGGAGACAAGTGGAGAAGAGGAGTGTAGATAAATGGAATCTGTGGGTTTACTGTCAGGCCTCATTGCTGGTGGGTGGGTGGTTCTCTCAGGCTTAGTGTTCAAAGAATACCAAGCTTGGGAGAAGCTGGTTCCAAGTCTACTTGCCTTCAGGGCTTGAACTTAAGCACAGATTGCCTTGGGGCCTACTGAAGAACTTTCCCAGGACAACTGAGTGATACGTCAGCCTCTATCTTTTAAAAAAAACATCTTACTGTTTGTCACAGCTCTGAAAACTGTGAAAAATACCCAACTACATTCTTGTGGAGGGCTATTTATGTGGTGTTTTGCTCTTAGAAGGAAACGAATACAGGATGCTGAGTTGGAGAACCTTACAAGGCCTCAGAAAGGACAGAAATTAGCTAATATCTGGGGGTCTGTATACCTGGCTCTGTGAGCATCTGCTATTGTATTTAATTCTTAATGAAAGCTACTTTCATTAGCTATCTTGAAGCAATTAGCCTAATTTTAAAAGATAAGAAAACTAATCATGGGGTGAGGTTACATAACTTGCAAACGTCACATGAACCGTGGGTGGCAAAGCTGGGTTCCAAGCTCAAGTCTGTCTGATTCTAAAGTCCGTCCATAACTTAAGTGTTTAAATGCAGTACCCCAATGTCCTTGTACACCAAGCAGTTTTTCCACTTAGGCCATGTTGCTACTTTAGGATTTTGGTACTAAATGTATTTTGGCATTTTCTTTGTCCCCATTACGCTTGATTTTGCTTTGAGCACCTGCATTAGATGCAGTTTAGAACAGTGGGCTCCTGAAACATCGGGCTTTCTAGGGAACGAAGACAGCCATCAACTTCAAGGAACTCTTGGGAACCTAGTGAGATCAATCTCAGGCCTTCACTAGCCTCAGATCACAACGGAAAGTATTTATACTCCCCCTTCCAATAAAACACCCAATATTCTCCTAGCTAACCCTTACTGTGAGCTTACTGTGTACTAGGCATTGCAGAAAATGCTTTACAAACATTATTTATCTTAATCCTCACCACTACCATATGAGGTAGATAGTATTAACAGACTTATTTTATAGGTGAAGAAACAGGCTCAGAGTCACCTACCCGATGTCATACAGCTAGTAATCGGTAGAGCCAGGTGTCAAAGGCAGGCTCTCAGGCCCAAGAGCCTGTGTGTTAATCGCCATGCTGTGCTGATTCCCCAACAGATTTTAACTGAGCACTGGGCAGTTGGTTTGGGTTGGGTATACAGATGAAAATAATTACTTTCTTGACTTCCAGGAGCTCTCCATGTAGTGGAATGGATAGATAAATAATCACACAATGATGTAATAATATGACAAGTGCTTTGAAAAGAATAAGCAATAGGGCTCCCAGGACCTCAGAAGAAATGGCTCATTGCTCGAAGCAAGAAAAGGAAAACAGGGAGACTGTTGGAAGGCCTCGTGGAGGAGGTAGTATTTGAAATAAATCTTGCAGAAGGAGCCAGGTGACTCTGCATTGAGACAGGAGTGTCTTCTGATTTAGGAAAGAAAATAGCTTGGTGTGGTTAGAGATTCATTCAGTAAACAC